ATTTTCAAGCAAGTGATATCTGCCTCGAAGCAAGAGAGACTTGCTATAACTGGTTCTGCAAAGTTGGTTCAGTTCGAGAACTTCTTCCGCGCATGTAAAGCCTCTTATCTTTAATAATTGTTCTACTCATGTACCTTTTTTCTTATTTTTTTTTTTTGGCTTTTGTTGCCTGCCCATAGTTACTTGGAGCTTGCAATTTTACCTTGCTGGCGTTTCCTCATTAATCAACCCAGAGAAGTTCTGGATCGTTTAGTCATGATGGTGAGAGGTCTTGCAGATCCACTGGCGTCTCTGTATTGTCGTCTTTATATGGTGCATCGTATGCAGAAGTTGGGTTTCTGCAATTCAGGTACCTTTATTCTATGTTTTTTTTCCAGAAAAATTCTAGATATATTAACAGTGGATGAATCATAATGGTTTGTAATATGCTTAATCGGAATGTGGTTTGTAATATGCTTAATCGAAATGAATACATAATCCTAGCCTAGTCACACTTGCTTGCTAGTTACGGAAAAAAATCTAGATCTTATAAGTCGTGAGTCGCTTTTTCATGATTGGATGGTGCGTGAAGAGACTAGGGAAGGCTGTTTAATTCTTCTGAATTTTCCATTGCGTTTAACATGTTGCTGCATAATCTTAACTACCTCCAGTTTGGTAATTTTAAATGTAGCCTTTTACATGTTAACGTTTAGAGCTCTGTAGACTGTTTTTTTCTTATTTGAGGAAGACACGTAATGTCATATGTTTGACCATGATATAACAGGATATCTAATCAAATGCATCAAGGATATTGAAGACGTATTGACGCCTATTTTAGCGGACAAAGAGGGGTGTTCCTATATTACAGACGACAAAAAGTTGCTTTTTAATTTGATGGAACCAGCCATTGAGTATGTAATGAAATGCTTGTTACTGACTGGACGTCAGGTTAGTAACTATTCTTGACCGGTTAGTGGCTGAAAGCATTTGCTAGTATTTTCTTGTTGTTGTTTAGAGTCCTATTTCCCACATGGTAATAAAACACATTTACGTGTTTTGAATTTTTTAGAAATGTCAGATTGCTGGGAAAAAAGTTTCCGGCTAGACCTTGTTAATTATTTCTTTGTTTTATGATGAATTGGTTCTTCCCTAAAAATTTGGTTAGTGTACAGGAGAACAATGTGTTGGGCATGCTTGAGGAGCTTGGATTTGGAAGGAATAATTCTCAGTCGTCTGAAAACTCTTCACACGTATCCATTTTACTTCATCATCTTCTCAAGGAACTTCCATCCGAGCTAGTTAGCTCACAAGCTATGGAGATCCTGCGTATGATTAAATGCAGCAAGGATTGTTCTTTCAGTCAGGTTGCTTCTTCATTTCAGATTTAATAAGCTATACCATCGATGGGGTCTAACCCTTCCTTTTATGCTGTACTGCTTTGTCGAGTAGGTTTTGAATTACAGGTTACTTGGAAGTAAGTTGTGTGAAGGGAGATCTCAAGCAGGTTTTCTGAGTTCATTCGTCAACGAAGTTATGCAGGTTTAGTGTTTCCTTTTACTTTCAACAAAATTAAGAATTCATCGTCATAGATAAATTCATCGTCCAAAAGATGCATCTTAGTTCCTCCTGAATAATGATTTGCATAATTATATGCTAACAAAAACTGTGGTAAAGAGAAGGGTGGCGCGGCTTTTGCAATATGCTGACATTGAGGTCTGAATATTGCAACAGGCTGCTTCTCAGTATCAGGCGCTGTATGACTACTTGAGAATTATGGACGCATATGTCGATCTATTGTTGCAAAACAAGATGGTGAGGCTGAAGTTGTAGTTTTGGTACATGAGGATCTCTTATCTCGTTCCGCTAGATTTTAATCATCAGTTTCATCTGTATCAGGAAACTCATCTGAATGCGCTCTTGGATGATATTGTAACTCTAGCTCGTGACAAGTTTCTTTCTGAAGAAGAACAAGCAAGTTTGCAATCCATAATTTTGAAGCTGCTGTCTCATTTCGAGGACTTGCAAAAAGTACTTTCTCTGGTATACTCCGTCCCTCTTTCCTTTATAATATATATACTTAAGGCTTTAAGGTAACAATACGCTATAATTAAATAAAACATTGTCTAGTCCCTGGGATGACATCATTATCAAGTCTCGTTAAACGACTTCTTTGCTTACTTTGTAGAATCATTTCATTGAGATCTTGGATCTTATGTCTGGAACTTCAAAGAAAATTGTTAACATGCATCTTCTGAGCATGGGTACTAGGTAAGACGTGTTTGTTTCTCCATCGTTCTTTAACTGGATGTTTCCCACATACTGGATGGGTCACGTAGACCATTATAAACCATTGTCATGTTGATGACCGTTAATATGCATCTTTAGACGTATAGATATACCATGCTCCCTTCAAGGTATTGGGGATCCTATTTTGAGGGATCTGTACTTATTATTCTTTTGCTTATGTATTTATGTTCCTTTTCTTTCTTGGTTAAAAGTATGCTCATTTCTTTCTCCTTGGAATAGGAATGGCTTCTGCATATGTGAATCAACAACGGTGCAATTGCTTTTTGAAGTATCTCAGGGTCTTTATGATGCTACAGATTTCGTTAACATAAAGGATGATGATAATCGCCAGACATCACATTTGATTTCTCGTTTTGTTGAGATGGTACCTAAGTTCCATTTACCAATGAGTACTTCCTCGTTTGTGTTAATTTGGTTAAGTTTGACTAAACTTTTGATGCTTAGGTTGATTATGGGACAGAAAGGGAACGCCATTTGTTGTTTTTGGCGGAGTGTCGTGACGCCTTTAATGGGATACATGAACTTAAGGTCAGCAATCAATCAGATCATTGTTCTTTTGTATGACTTTCAATTATGTATAGCTATACCTGTGGAGGACCCTGTATAATCCCATTCTTGTCCATTCACACCATTGTTTGGTTTAATGTATTGATAATTTATACTATGTTATGGTCACTGGCTGCAGGAGACACTTGTCCGATCAAGCAACACCTTGGCAGTAAAAGCACTAAAAGCAGGAAACAAGCATATCAACTTTGTAAAGTCTTGCCTAGCCTTCAGCGAAGTTACCATTCCATCTGTTACAATTCCGACAAAACAGCTAAATCTTTATCTCGAAACTGCTGAGGTTTGTGTTTTTCTTGTATGTAGTATTTTGCACTCAAAAGTATGTACGTACTGAAACATGTTTTGAAAGGTTGCGCTTTTAGGTGGTTTGATTTCTCATTCCGATGGACTGGTCATGTCTGCTGTTGAGTGTCTAGAGAATGTAACGCCAACAGATGGTGAGTTTTTTTTTTTTGTATACATGTTTAGTTTAGTTACCAAACTCTTGATTAACAAGTGAAAAGTAATAAATTAGTCTGTGAATTGCAGCCACCCTAAAACCAGTCACCTGTTATTTAGATGGTATATTATCTTGAACGTTTTTCCTCTATCAGGTTTAAAGTCAGTTGATGCGGATAATATGGCCTCGGCGGTATGCAGATTGTGCAGCTTCTTGGTAATGGTTCCAGGTAAATTGTGGAAGCTCTTAGATCACTTTTGCTCAACAATATAGATATGATTCTTCGTCGCTCTGGTCTGCCCTTCCTTTCGGATCTTCATAACTGAGGTTTTTTATTTGTATATTGAATTGGAAAGGTAATCCTGAGAAAGGCATGTTGGAGATCCTTAAGAGCATCTTTTCCGCTACTTGCTCTAGTTCATGGTATGTTTCTAACAGGGACCATACTTACCTAGATGTACATATATAATATGCAAAGTGGACATACATTCGCTTTTTTTTGTCCTATTGTTTTAATATCTTCTTACGTTATCTCATACAGTTGACGTTTTACCGCCCCTTTTGCCTTTTTGGTTGTGACATCTCGTTTTGTTGTAGGGCAATGCCGAGATTGAAGATGAAGATACTTTGTGCTATCATTTCACTGTTGTCGACACTTTCCCAAGATAATCTGCCTTACCGTTCTGCCAATCCAGAGGTATCTTTATGCCTGTCGTCATCTTATTACATTCATAACATTTGTTGAGTTGCCGATATGCCGTAGTCATCGCAGTCTGTTTTCTGATGGCTTATCTTAATCTAAACTTCTTTAAAGAAAAATGTTGAGTTGTACTTCTTTTTTTGTGTGCAGATAATTGGAAACGATTTACTGTTCTTTGGTGATTCATCATACAAGAATGAACTCGTCTCTTGGACTCAGCTAGTTGTAGGTGAACTTGTAGAAGCTATTGAGCAAGAAACGTCACAGGTCGGAATCTACTATCACTAGTACTAAGAAATGGATTCCAGTTTTTGTTATGATCTCTAAACATCTCTAGGTTATATGATATTATGTGCAGATTGCTCGCGGGAACATTGCGCTTGAAGCTTGCAATTGTATATCATCAGCATTAGTTGTACTGTTCTCATCCTAAGTTTTGCATTTTTTTCCTAAAAGAAGCTAAGATTATTCCTTTTAGCTGGGTTGGTGACATGTATCTTTGATGATGTGCAGATGAATGAGAAAGTCTCACAACTTTGCTTGAGACTGCTCGAGACAGCAGAAGGTTGTTTGGGTGCCAAGGATAAGTATCTTGAAGCCACTAAGCAATCACTCCAGTTATGATGCTTACCAAGTGAATTTTTACTAATTATGTGTGACATTGGTGATACGAAACCAAGAGAATGTGATATTCTTTGAAGCCTGTTACGTCTGAGATGGTTAACGTTTAACCGCGTCAGTTGTGTTTCATATTCACATTTTAATCTTGTGAATCAAAATCACGTCTTAAACAAAAAAAATTGGTAATTTTTTTTTGTCAAACTGTGCGTACTTAATGCATGTTTTTGCTAGCTACAAATTTGATTATTTACGCTTCTGTAATAAGCCAGAAAAAAGGATAAGCAAAAATATCGTTACTTTTCATGGTGACGTGGCTACGCAAGATTGGCACAAACTTTATCTTCACTAAATTCAGACAGGAAACAGAGATTCTATCTTCAACTATTTTTGCTTTCTCCTACATTGTCAAGAAAAAAGGAGAAAGAAGTGTGAATCCAGAAAATGTGGTGCGCACGTTATCATCAGCCATTACCTGCCGGTTCCAGCGTCTTGAACCGTAACGCAAAGCAAGAAGAGAGCCTGGGAAGAAAACAAGTGTTCTTTTCCTTATCTTCATCTCCTTCAACTTCAAGCTTAAGAGGCCATCCATGGCAAGTCAGTAACTACCCAAAAATTGGGCTCCGGTTAAAACCGAGTGCTAGTGTGGTGCCTCCATCTGAATCTGGTGATATCACCACTTTCCTCCTAGTAAGGTACATATATTTTCCTCTTCAATTTACTAGTATTTATTGAGAAATTCAAGTAGTTATTTCTGTTGAATTGTTTACTACTTTGCAGTGTAGCAATGATCTCAATGTATTTGGTAGCAAACTTTGTGGTTCCATCTTTGCTTTTCAAGTCGCTCCAAGGTGAAGAAGAGGACGACTCTGATTGAGAACTTTTAAGTCCCCTTGATTTGAATTGATGTTTTGCTTTTTACATTTAAGTTTTTTGTTACTTATTTATATGCGTCGTTCAAAAACAAAACTTATTTATATGCAAAACATATTAAATTATTAATATAAGCTCCTTTCATCTAATTTCTGCGTTAGGTTTTGCGTCATCTTTTCATTTTATTTGATTAAACCACTTACAAGTTACAAGTATCACATAGCCAATTGCTAAACGTAAAGAAGAAAATCTCTTTTTCTCTTACAGGAAATTTCATTTTATTTTGTAAATGGCATAGGCAATTTCATATTGACCCAAATCTCTCTTTTGTGTAATACCAAGCAAAAACTACTAGTATTATTTACTGTATTATCTCCACCGTTTATTGCTCTCGTGACATATTCAAAACCGGATTTGGGTATAGCCCAAAAAAATATTGATTTTGACCACCAACTTTTTTTTTTTGAAAATTATATACACAGAAACAGATCTCTAAAATTTATGCTGGAAAAAAACATCTCTAAATTTATTAAAAAATTTTAGTAGATGTTTATAACCCAAAAATTTCAAATCCAAACCATATACATATTTAAAGCTATATCTAGAATTTATGTAAGGTTTAACATAATCACACTATATATATATACAACTAATACCATCTTATTCCACCATACAGCCGCAAAGTAATCAATAAAATAATAGTGATATATAAGACTAGTTACGACCAAAACAAAAAGAAATGATTTTTTTTATAATTTATTTACCTAAATAGTGTACTATATAAGACACACCTCTCACTCTATAAACACACACACAAACGTAAACCTTGACTATAATACCATAGTCGTAGAATCAATGCATCATCCACATTTTCAGCTTTAGCAAGCTCGCTGATCACAGTGCTGTAGCTATACACATCTAGCTTCAAACCCTTTTCTCACATCCAATTGAGAAGGTCTTTTGCTCTTCTAAACGGCCTCTTCTTACATGGCATTTTAAACAAAACATAATATGCCTGCATGTTTTTGGTGAGATTAACGTTGGTGTGAATCGCAATATTATCTTGAAATTTGATTGGTTTAAAATAGAGATTACAATTGCTTGTTCATTATCTGACATACATGGCAAATTTGTTCTGTAGAGTTGTTTTAGTCACGTAACTCTTATGTTTTAATGTAATTGTTTATTGAGAAACGTAAAATAAAATCAGAAGATTGCGTCAGGGATTTATTCTCAAATATAGTTAGGCCGGCATAAATATATGCATTATTATAAAATTGAAATAACAGTACATAAGAATTTAACTCTACAGACATTAGTATTTATTTATAATATTAAAATAAATAAATTTTATTATTAATGGTGTATTTTCTTATAGGTATGGCACACCAAAGAAAATCATCAAATGGCAAAGAGGTATTTATTTCCTATATATATATTTTTTAATTGACTGATTATAGTTCAATTGACGAACTAATGTATATTATTGTTAAAGGAAAAGTACAGTGGAACGATAGCAGAGTGCATATATTTCATGAAATATATGAAAATGAAATAGAAAACATAAAGGGATAATTTGTGAGATAGCTATGTTTGGAAAAGAAATTAGGTGTATGTCATTGATTTTGACATCATTAAGTAATTAACAATTGTGCATAAAATTAGCCGGTTTTAGCCTTTTCGTAAACAAGTAGTAGGTGAAGAATAAAAGGTAACATTAGACAAAATGAAGTATGGTTAATATTTAATTCACAACTAAGAGAATATAAGTAACCACGTTACACATTTATAGCCACATATATATGCATGTTTGTTCTATTCCACATAAAATAATATAGATTTCTAACTTCACCACATACTTTAATACTAAACATTACCCAAAAAGAACACTCATTATTAATCATCAAATGAAACGATACATGATATGGTCATTAAACTCAAACAGAACACTCATTATTAATCATCAAATAAAACGATAATGATACTGTCTTTAAACTCAAACCTCAACCCCCATCTTCCAAATACTAAACCCTAAATCATAATCACTAAACCCTAAACCCAAATATAAATCATAAACCCAAATAGAATGGAACGAAAATAGATAGAATAGTACATATTAGTGAACAAATTTAAACACTCTTTATTAATCATCAAATGGAACAATACATGATAGGGTTCTAAACCCAAACCTCAACCCCCCCTTCCAAATATTAAACCCCAAATCTCAGCCTGAAATATTTCACCTTCAAAAAGTTAGGAGGAAGAAGAAGAAATGTGTGATTTTCTGATGACCACGTTTAACTTTTACTTCTTTGAATATATTTTTTTATTTAAAAAACTATAGGTTGAGCCGGTTGTTTTGAAGGATAGAAAGGTAATATTATATAAAATACACTATGTATCTATGTATTCTAGGGAAATTGGCTACTCACCTAAATATGGTTTTTTTTTGTAGCTATACTACCTAATTTCCCAAACATAAATTGGCGTACTAGTCTTTTGAATAAAAAAAGAGTAAAGCAAGAATTAGAAACAAATTTCGAGAAGCAACATATTGAAACTCAGAATGGCTTCCGCTAAAAAACAAATTTTACTCTATAAAAAAATTGCAGTACAATGGAACGATAGCAGGGTGCATATATTTCATGAAATATATGAAAATGAAATAGAAAACATAAATTGGCGTACTAGTCTTTTGAATAAAAAAAGAGTAAAGCAAGAATTAGAAACAAATTTTGAGAAGCAACATATTGAAACTCAGAATGGCTTCTGCTAAATAACAAATTTTACTCTATAAAAATATTGCATGACATTTATCGCCGATTAGGCAATATGACGGGAGTTACATTTCACGAGACAGAAAAAGCTATTCAAATGGATGATGAATGGTGAAATGATCGTATTCATGTAATTTTTGATCATTATAGTCCATCCGTTTTCTATTTATATTTTAAATATACTAAATTAATTTTTATATATTCTTAATTTAAGAAATACATGATGCTTCAAAGCATCGGGTATACTCCGACTTTTTGGAGGCAAATACATTTCAACCGATGATAGCTACTATCCACGTTCTGGAGTGGATCAGAATATCGAATCTGAGACGGTTACCGAGAATGAATATGACACTGTGAATCTAAAAGATGATTCTGATGCACCTTCAAGAAACCAAAACGAAACACCATCATCCTTTAATCATAGTCCCAAAAGGGTGTACAAAAATACTTCACATAGTTCATCATTAGCACATAAACGAGTTGAGGAACAACAAAGGTTTCATATGACTTCGTGACAAATGAAGCCTACATGAAACAAACTGAACTTTATGAAGGAGTCCAAGATAAAAAGCTTGAATGTGCAATTGACTCATTACAAACATTCCCTGGTCTCCAATATGACTCCTTACTTTAAAAGATTAAGCGATGAAATCGATGGAACACATGTTCATGTCACTATTGTGGGAGAAGATTCAGAAAATATTGGAACAGGAAAAGGGACACAAGTATGAATATTCTAACTATATGCAATATGGATATGTTGTTTACATATGTATATATAGGTATTTCAGGATCAGCTCATGATGCAAAAGTTCTACCAGTAGCAATGGAAAGACCACATCAATTTCCGACTGCACCTTACGGAAAGTATTATTTGGGAGATTCTGGTTACGCTCTTTGACTTCAATTTCTTACTCCATATAAAAGGAAAAGATATCATCCTAGCCAATAAAATGGAGCTAGTCCGCCCAACAGCTATAAGAAATGTTTAACAAACGACATTCTTCACTCTGATCTGAAAGGATTTTGGAAGAAAGAGTTTCTCTCTCACCTCCATTCTCACACTAAAAATCTTTCACTGAGGTGATGAGGAGAAATCTAAAATCCTTTTGTTTTTTCTGATCAATAGATCAGATTTTGTTTGTAATATAAGTTTCGATAAAGAGATCGATTTTTGTTGTTTGCAATGACGATCTTTCTTTTCGCATAGGCGAGTTTTTTTTGTAGTGTTTTCAATCTTTATTTTGGAGCAAAACTTCAAGGATCTTTTTTTGTTCTTCGGTGAAGATTGAGTTTACTTTACTAAAGGTTCCTCATTCGCAGTTTTATTCAGATCCCGTTTGCTTAAGAAGAATCTATTCTTTCCCCTGGATTCACATTTATTCCTTCTTTAAAGGAATCAATCTCTGCACATTTGAGATGTAGAGTCTCTAAATCGGTTCTGAGGTGAAGTCTCCTGGATAGAATGGAAGAGGTGATGGTTGGATTAATATTGATTGATTCTAATGGGGATTTAGATGAATCGGCACTTTTTCTATATTGAAAGTGGTTCGATAAGATCTTCTATTGGGTCATCCAAATCTGCCCTGAGTTATCATCTGACGTTTGATGGAGTTTCGTTCTCAAGCGACGGTTTAGGTGAAGGATGGAATTAGAGGAGTTCATAACCTTAGACGGCGGCGATGTTTCTATAGATCGTGGGTTCGGGCAGAGCTCAACAGAAAGCTTCTTGTTCCATGCGGCGCTGCATTTTGGACACGCGTCATCTCAATTCGAGGTGAGGTTTTCATGCTTAGCTAGATGAAGACGCGTGGTGATGCATGGCGTCGTGAGTTTCAAGTAGGGATCAAGAGACTCAAAAGGATCTGATGGGCTAAAGGTTGACTGGATTGTTTCGGTTTTAATATAATTGAGAATGTTGTAATGTTATAATTGAGCTTATGAACTTCTCATGTAAAATGTTCTTTGGGTTTCTCTTCTTAAAAGAGAATGTTGACCAAGAAAGGACTTTTGATGTGTTGAAGGAAAAATGATGGGTTTTAAGAGAGAAGCCAAGGTACAACATACATGTTCAAAGAAAAGTTATTACAGCAACAATGACACTACATAATTATATACGACTACATAATTATATACGACTATCAAATTTAGGAGATATTGATTTTGATTTGGATTATACAAATAGTAATGCACCAGCTGAAGACTCTAGTTCAGATGAAGACGAAGAACATAATAACATTCATGCGCAATATATGGAAGGGATTCGAGATCAAATTTATGTATCTTTATGGGATTCACAATAATTTTATTTTATATTGTAGCTTTTATTTAAAATAATTGTATTAGATTAGTTTATGTGTGCTTTGATAATAGAATTTTAATTTTATAGAATAAATTTTTTATTATTTGGTGATTTTGTTATTTTGTTAATTCTAAATAAAAAATCATTGACAAAAAATTAAAATACCAAAAACTAAAATCAAAATCTAAAACAACCATTCATGATTCTAAAATGTTGAGAATCTATTGCAAAATAAAAAAACCAAAAACCAGAATCTAAAATCTAAAAAACAATCATCACCTAACACTAGTATATCTTATATATTAAAACAGAAGTCACAACCTAGATTCATGTGTGAATTTTTTTAAAATGAACTATTCCTTAAGAAGATTATGAAGATTATCAAATGTTACATAATTTAATGATAATATCTTTAAATATCTTTATTTTTCTATTTGAAATACAAATGAAATAAATCCAACAAAATCTTTTTGACATCTTTTTAAATTGTATTTCCATAATATTATCCCATATATTTATCTTTTATTCGAAATACAAATGTTTT